AGGAGAAATGACGAAAAAGTATCTTTGGCCACTATTCAGTTCTTTACATTATATAGCTGTACAATAACAAGTATAATAAATAAACTTAGTATTCCGATAATTGTTTAATTTCGACGGAGGTCCAGTCCAATCTACACTTAGGTTTCGAGATTAAACAATTATCGGAATACTAAGTTTATTTATTATACTTGCTATTGTACAGCTATATAATGTGAAGAACTGAATAGTGGCCAATGACACTTGTTCTTCACTTCATCTATCCAGTGTATAGGTTTTTCTCATAGTGACTATAAAGCACATTACACCAACAATATGTTTGATACTTTTCACTATGATATTGGTCAAGCTCATCTCTCTTTGGTTCACTTACTCATCTCTCGTTCCTTATTTCCACTACTGTGTATTTCTACATCTCCTGGCCACTGAGAGAGCGCAACCCTCTGTTGGCCCGCCAGCACTGTTGAGGTACGGATGTCTCCTCTTCTCCCTTTCATCTATCCCGAGGCCTAATGCTCACGGACTCCACTGCTGGTTCCCTGAACATACCTCGTTCCCTGAGGTACGGATGTCTCCTCTTCTCCCTATCATCTATCCCGAGGCCTAATGCTCACGGACTCCACTGCTGGTTCCCTGAACATACCTCGTTCCCTGATCTAGCCTGAACTGTGCCAACCTCCATTTCTCCTGATCGTTTGCACTACCAGCCCATGATATGCTTCCATCCCCCATTTTCACCTTTTTTGAAGACTTTGCTCTTTACCAATCTCTTCTCTTTTATTTCTCGTATTATTCTCGCTTGGACGACAAGAGGGCGTAACCCTCTACCAGCACATCAGTTTCTCCTAGGATTGGAATGAAATAGCACGTGTTGTTGTTCTCTCTCTTTGGTTAACTTGTGTTCAGGGTTACTGATGAAGAATGGAATTCTCTGAATTAAATGTAACCCAATAATACACATTGATCAAATTGTAGATTGAACTGGACCTCCCTTGAACTTAGGCTTTCAGATTAAACAATTTTTTTCATATTAAGTTTGTTTATTAAATTCAGGTACGGTTAGTATATCTTATTGGCTGAAACTGACGTAACTTGAACAGATTTAGTCTTTTGTACTGCACAAAATGGGTAACTTTAGTGTGCAATTTTTCTGCTAACTTTAGCAACTTAAGAGTGTTTATTGACCAAGATAAATGTACTCCGGGAATTTTTGAGAGTTTTAAATAGATAATGTCAATGTTCCCCCTAATTTTATCAATCCATGTTGTGGGATGAATTTTTCATGTGCACCACTATCAAGGCAGTGTGCGATGTGTGCTACGAGTTTCTTTTTTAGGGCGTGGTGATATTTTTATATCATAGACCCTATTGGATCATTAGGCCACTTTGCAAAGCTACCAGTTGGTTATTTAAGTTTTAGGCCTATCGACGCCAGGGTCAGGCCGTCAACGTGTTGAGTTCCCCACCTTTACTGAGGATGTGTGCAGCTGGAATATTGAAGTGCGCGGCGTTTGATTGGTTGTTATGTGGCCGCGCAGCTTAGAGGGAGCTTTGATAGGGATGTAACTCCAACGATTATAATGCACTTTTTTTTACAAACATGAGATTAACTTGGGCAGTTTTATATTAAATAAATTAAGCTTTATACTGCTTAATTAATATTTATGAGATGTAACTATGTCTTTTTGTTGAAAGACGAAGTAGGCAAGTTAGACTAATTGAAAGTCTTCAAAGCAATAGTTCTTTATAACCCTTTCTTATTTGACAAAAAAAACAAAAAAAACGAGCTTTTATTTCATATAGTTTCGTAATTATAACTTAAGTCATATTTATGATGAAGGAAATATCAATCAACAGATTTTGTTTTTACTTTAGGGAAAAGTCCAAAAATACCAAAAAGGAAAAGAAGTTATCGACTCCAGTGTCTTCAGAAGCAGATCAATCTGCGAGGGTAAATGCGTAGCTGGCGAAGCGTGATACAAAACATATAAGAATGATGGTTTTAAGGTTTGAGCAACATCTTGTATTTTCTGTAACCCTGGAGTGGTTATAAATAGGAAATAAGGCCAAAAT